CCCCCCCCCCCCCGGGGTGTTCTGGATAAAACTGGCAAGGTATCTTCAAGGGTTGTACATGAAAAAATTAACAACAAGACATCTGCACACTACCTCATGCAGGTGTGGATCCAGGATTTTTCTTAGGAGGCAATGCACCACTAAGGAATGATTTAACTGAGTTTTTTTTTTTTTTTCTTTTTTTTTTTTCCACAAAATACCAGTCATATTAGAAAGGCATATGTCATCTCAGTGAGGGGGGTGCACTCCTGCACCCTCCCCTTAGATCCGCCCCAGCCTTGAAACTGAGACTCCCTTCTCTGTCTGCTAAGTCAGAGACACAAGAAAGCGTTTGCTTGCAACCGCTTCATTGTTTGATCAGCTCCCGTTAACAACCAGGGACGAATAAATTAAAAATATTGTTTTTTGTCAAGTTTTAATCAGTTTTATAACTTACACATGGCAGATAGGATTCAAAACGCTGTCCGTTTGCAAGGGAGTCACCACCACCCCACCCCCAGCCAGGAGAATTAGATTAGCTACCTTATGCTGTAACTGTGTCACTCATGAGAAATGCTTTTTTGTTGCCTATTTCTGGCTACTTTCTTTTGCAGCCATTTCTTTTGGAACTGTCACGCAATGCTTCACACGTGATATCCCAAAAAGTGGTTGCGAAGGAGACTAGACCTTAGCAGATGAGTGACTGACCCCTCATTTACATACTATTTGCATAATCTGATCACCCACTGCAATTCATAACTTGGTATTGCAATTTTTTAGGTCAGATGGCCCCGGCAATTTCTACAGCTTTTGAAGCATTTCTTTATAATAATTTCTCACAAGAGTTCACTAATTAATGAAAGGATCTCTCATAAGTGACTGCTTTTTTCTTTTTCGTAGAAACAACATGATTGAAGAAGTTGTTGCCCACATTTTCACAGGATTTGTAAATGTTGTAGCTGGTCTTCACCTGTCCGCAGTGCATAAACCTTCAATATTAGACATTGCAAAGTACTTGATTATTTTTTTTGTGGTCCCCTCGATTGCTGTGGTTGCTTATGATCAGTTCTTTCCTATATTTCAAGGAGTTAACCTATATCTGGTATTTGTTATTTCCACACCAGTACTTCTCATCACCCCTGTCTTGGCATTTGCTTTATTTCGCTTTTTCGGTGGCCACTGGTTGCTTAATTGGCACCTGAGGAAGACTTCACGATATCTAGATTTGTGTAACTTGCCTAACGAGTACAAAACATTGTTGCTGCCCAGAGATACAGCAAAATGGCATTACCAGCTTGCTGGGAGCTCAGCTGATCATGGGTTTGGATTTTTTCCTCTGCTGAGTTCAAACTCAGGGATATTTCCATGGTCAAAACCACAGATGATTCAAGATGTTGATGTGAATATATTTTATAAGCCATTGTGTGTTAGAATTGACCATTTGATACCTACATCACCTGGATATTGCAAGGTGGTTGTCAATGGCTTCACTCAAGATGCATTTTTGCATGACTGCATTGTCAAGTGTGGATCACAGTCTTTGCTTTCTGGAAGGTTAGTTTCACAAAAAATAGGAGAAGAGTTTGCCACAGCAGATGTGGAATACAACTACCCTGCAGTAACATTTAAAGCAGTTTTGGATGGCCCTCGGGGAAAGTTTACATTTCATAGCGATATTGTCTTTGGAATCAAAATAATCGACTCTGCAGATGTAGCTTATGATTGGTTCGTGCGAGTGCAAGATATATTTCCATATCAACTTCTCGACATTATCAGGGCTACGGGATGCTACTTAGTTCACAAGCATTGTTTATCACATCATATCTCGCATGATTTTGATTGGAGAATTACATTTGCTGAAGCCGAGTCAAAGCTTTTTGAGTATCATTCTGACAAGACAGCACTGAAATTGTGTTACGTTGTCATCAAATTTGCAATCAAGCAGTTCAGTCAAGTAAAGAAGAGAAGTTATCTAGCCCTAAAATCCTACCATTTAAAGACTGTTGTCTTGTGGATTGCTGAGCAAAGTGGAAAGCTTCCTTTTGATGTGTATACAATTGACAACAACAGCACACTAGGGGCACTGTTGTCACATATCATATCAACATACAGGCAACATCTACATGAAGGATATTTACAACACTATTTTATAAGGGGTGTAAACATTTTGGAGCCCTATGGTGTTGAAGAATGCACAGCAGCTATGCACTTGTTAGATGAGTTTAATAGGAAGCCACTGGCTACTGTGTCTAATTTTGATAATGCTAATATGAACCGCTGGAAATTTGAGCAGTTTGTCATTGTTAGTCAGCTTGTTGTGGTGGCATGCTTGTGTTTCAGCTGTTATTTTTCAGTAGTTGGTGAACTATTTGTGCAGCAAATCTATGTAGTGTGTGCTGTATTTGGTTTGATAATGATTGTAAAAATACTTCTAGATTGATGCATTGCTGTCTAGTTATCAGGGTTTCGTGGTATTATTTTTATAATATAATGCCATTTGCTCTTATTGACACATCTGATTTCATGATCTAACTGACATTTTTAAAACGTATCTCACAAGAAATTTTCACAGTTGCCTTGGAAAGTGAGAGAATTGAACTAAAGTCCATATTCAGGTGGCTGGTAACAGTTTCCAGATTTTTCCAGTAGTTATACTTTGATGGCTCAGTACTACCACATTTTATCAACTGATGTTGTAATATTAGGTATCACATTAACGACCAATCATTGTTAAACAATTGTGGTCACCTTTATGGTATATTAGGTTACCATAGTAATGATACAGCTTGTTAAAAATTCCAGCTTTTTAAAAGTGCTGCCTTATAACTCAAAAATGGCTTGTGGAAACCCATTTTTTATTATCGAATTGTGATAAGCATGTTAAGATAAATCTTTTGCAAAGTTTAAAAAAATTCTACCAACAGACCTTTTTAAACTTTGGGCCTAAATGGGTTAGGCATAACCTGCGAACAGGCTCCTGGTGAGGACGGGAAAAAAGTTCAGCGAGCGAAGCGAGCCAATGAGTGCAAAACTGAAGAAGTCGGAGAGCGAAGCGATGCGGGAGGGACGCGGCGGGGAAGCCTGTAGACTCTTTTTGTGTGCCTATCCACCCTTGGTGATTTGCCTGAAGCAAATCAGTCAATGAGGTAATTAGACCTGTCAAGAAGCTACATTTTTTGTACAGCTCTAATCAAACAGCTGGGCCTGGCGTCATAACAGAGTGCAAGTAAGCAACATGTTCACGGAATATTTCAAACTTTGTCCCTCCAGAGCCAATTCTTAGGGAGGTTAAAACATATTTTGAAATAGAAATGAGTCTAAACAAATTATAAGCGTATGGCAAATTGCAGAGGTGTCAAACTCCGGGAAGCGACATGCAGATAACAGCGGAAACCATGCAGGCCTTTGACCTTTAAAAAAACTGATTGCTATAGCACAGTCAAACGGCTCCACTCTACTTAAAATTCCTCCTCAAAACACAGCATAAAGTGCGAAAGGTCCAGAGACAGAAAATTAGCTCAGTCAAACGGCACCACTCTACTTAAAATTCCTTCTCAAAACACAGCATAAAGTGCGAAAGGTCAAGAGACCGAAAATTAAAAGAGAACGGCAAATGTACAAATGACACGAACCGTAGGAGTCTTGTACGGCGGTCAACCGCATTTTACAAAGATCTGTCAAATGATCATCTCAAAGATGTCAACAATCAATGATTTAACCAATCAGATCATGATACCAGATTCTAGTATCATGGAACGGAGGCATCAATAGAATGTCTACAGGCTCCCACTCTTTGTTCTAGGTTAGGTATGACCAAGGTGACTAGTGCCCATCCTCTGGAAATATGTCTTTGTCGTGACGAGCGTTTCTCGACAGCATTGCCCAATAAACTGCAACCAGAAGATCTGGAGATGCAAGGACGGTTGTCTGGCGCCATAACATCAGCCGTATCCGGGCAGATGGGGCTCGCGGAGTTTGTCTAGGAAAAGGAAAAGTCTGATTCCAAACCCGGGTAGATGGAAACTCGTTAGCCCTGGAAGGCAACCACCTAAAGGCGGCGAAATACGAAATACAAAAGCCATCAACTTGTCGCGTAACATTGTTTCGTTGCAAGTTTGGGTTGATGAAAAACGAGCAACAAAGCCAAAATTTGTCGCTCAAAGTAGACCCGCGCTCTACTTTTCGCAACAACTTTCTTCAACCCGCAACAAATGTTTTTGTTGCGCGACAAGTTGATCATGCCAGGTGAAAAACGCGAAACATCGTCCCAAAACTTGCAACGAAACAATATTAAGGGCCGAGTTGAGGGTTTTGTGTCTCGTATTTCGCCGTCTTAAGGGAGGAAAATCCTGACAGAAAGCTAACCAGCCCTCCTGGTATGGCGATTAATTAGGCTGAGGGTTAACAATGATCAATACCAGATTTCTACCACCAAAATCATACTCGAACAGGAATGCAAAGGGAGGCCACCCCCGGATGCGCCTTCATCGAGTGTAAAAAGGCGTTCGATTCTGTCCATCGGGGTAGCTTATGGAACACAATCCAAGTTTGAGCGCATCCAAGAGAAAACGGAAAGGCTGGTTACTGCGGCAGGAAGAACAGGTTTGTCTGAAGGCACTAAATAAGATGTAAAATGTTGCGAATAGATAGAGCAAGGGTGGACAGGGTTAGAGTCAGGAGCGAAGAGGTACAAGATGCTGCAAAATTTGTCTACTTGGGTGCAAAAAGTCTCGAAACTGAGATGGGGGCAGAACAGAGGACATTAAGAATAAGCACAAAGAGTAAGCTAATTAAAGATGTTATTTTGTAAGTAGTGTAAGCATTAGTTACCTAATTAAAAAAAAAAACAATAATATATTGTGGAAAAAAGAATAGGCACAAAAACGAGAGGCGCTTTTTTAAAACCTAACAAAGGTAATGAAATGAATAGTGGAAATAGCCTGTGAACAGGCTCCGGCCGGAAGGGCCAGAAAGAAACTGGCTGAGAGTGAAGTGGCCGAGGGGAGAACGGGGTGTTGGGGGTTGTGGCGTCCTTTCTCTACCCGCCTTCTCTTCGCCCCATCCTCGACTAGAGAGCCTGCTCAAAGGCTGCAGTGGAAAGAAAACCAAGGTTAAACTGTACAAGGCCAGTACTCTTCGACGGGCGTCCAAGGGTGAATAAGATAAATGAGATGCATTCTAGTTTGGTGAGGATTCTAAAGATCAGATGGCCTGCACGAGTAAGCAAAGAGAATCATCGGGATGACACATCAGCAGAATAGGGGATAAGATAAGAAGACGGCGTTGGACTGGCCGGGATTGGACATATACTGCATGGAGAGAGATCCAGTGATGGCATGGTGGCGTCAGGGTTGAGGCCAGAAGGTAACTGAGAGTAGCACTGGAAGACCTGTAAAGACCTGAAGGAGGACATTAGAGGTAGCGAGACGGAAGGCAGAATAGAATGACTAGAACATTGCGAGAGCGGTAGCCAGAGATTGAGCACAGTGAAAACAGAAAGCTACGGCGCTATTTCCCCATTGGCGCAAAAAGCAGGGATGATGAGGGGGAGGAGTACGACGGCGGTGACGGCGACGACGGTGACGGCGACGACGACGAAGAGTAGTAGGAGAAGTAGGAGGAGGAGGAGGAGGACGAGGACGAGGACGAGGAGGAGGAGGAGGAGGAGGACGACGACGACGATGAACACGATATTGCCGCATCACTTGAAAAGGAGTGGAAGTATTGATCCTTCAAAGTATAGCTGCTGGAAAGTGCTCTTAACTGTTACCAGCCACCGTAAAGGTCAGGAGGTGTGTCACAACATATCTTGGACCGGTATATTTGTTTTTATTCACTCTGTCCAACGCACAATGCATGTGTCGGACGAGAAGTCAAAATAAATGTGCTTTACGACATTTTATTGTATAGCTAGCTCCGTGAGCGGGCAAAATGAACCAAATCCTGCGCTGCATATGATTGGCGGTCCTACCCCACGCGATGGACCGGAACAAGTCTACACATGACCACATGGGTTGCCCTTGTATTGCATGCTCCTGTTTCCGGTCTCTGGTACTTTGGTCCAGCCGCAATACTCAACAGAGGGAGAAACGAGGGCTACTGAATGGATATTAACCATAAACAACAGCATTTCCATAACACCAAGCCACTCCGGCCAATCGATCGTATCTTGGCAATCTGTGGCTAGCGACTACCAGGGAACATTTACGTTAGTGAGGCTGGCCTGTTTCCAGGCTTTAGGGTAGTGGCGCCGCAGGCGGGTAAAAGAAAAACAAGCGGGGTCGGAAAGAGATAATTAAGAGAAGGGCGCACTTCCCTTTTTCGCTCCCCGATGCCGCTCTTTATGTTTTTTTTTTCATCCGCCTGCTTTTCCATCGTCCCCACGTACCGAGAACCTATAGAACAAGTTACAATGAGGTTGGTCTGCCAAGTTTCAACATGCAACTTAGTGATTCAGTCGAATATCTGGCTGACTCTAACCAGCCAGTCCCCCTAGCGAACTGTGGTGGCACTCAGGCTACAGACCGCTTTGTCTATATTCAGCTCCTTGCATGGATACAGCCAGAATGCAGCTGTCACCTCAGACTTCATGAAGATCAAGATAAGACATTCGCCGACCTATAGTTACAATTACAATGACATTTAACGTCGAAAATGTTTTGAAACGTGTGCCAGTTTGCTAAGATTACTGAATTCAACACGATGTTCTTCTAAAGAAGAGAAAGACGAAGTGCGCCTTATAAGATTCTGTTAAGCGTTTCAAGTTAATCGACAGTCGAGTTACACCTGCTATGGCTGAATATGTTTGATGGGCCCTTGTTGTTAGTTGATTCAATTTACTTAAAAGGTAACAGGTTTGTTACGGATATGAAGATTAAGGCTACAGTTGATCCAAATCTTAGTTACAGCCCTGGGGACCGTTTCTCGAAAGGCCCGCGGAAATATTTCGCGCCAATAAAGCCATTGTTAATTCATCTGTATCTGAAAACGGAAAAGTGTATAGGCCTGAAACTTCTTGTATGAAGGGAACCTCTGTTCATATTAAGAATATGTGAAAAAAACAGCTTTGTAATCATAAGGTTCGAGATTTTGTTATGGCTTTCCGGGTGCAAAAACTCTTCGGGACCTTCGAGAAACGGGCCACTGGTCTGAAAAAAGCTATCCGTAATGTCACATTTGACAGATTGTAATGACGATTTAAAATAGCTTGAACCATTGCGGGTAATACATTAGTGAAGGTTCCAACAAGTTGTCATTAAGAGATGAATAAAAGCCAATATGGACAAACAAATTGGGTTGAGCAATTAATCCTCTTATGTTAAACTTATGCCTATAATCATCTAGCATAGTGTCCTTGGGGTAATTTAAACGACAAGTGTGATTCTTCATATAATATAACCAGTGCTGAGTTTTATCAGCCACAAAAAGCATT